AGATGGGTCCAGTAGGGGGTAGGGAGCCAAGTGGGTAGCTATAGGGGTGCAACCAGCTACCGACCATATTTGGTATGATACAGGTATGGGCCAAAGTAGTCAGTGGGCTGAACTGTGGGCCGTATGGATGGTTAAGGCCCATGAAGATGGCACCTTGTCTATATGCACTGACAGTTGGGCGGTGTTCAAAGGCTTAGCATTGTGATTGCCCACGTCAAAATGGCAAAACTGGCTTGTGGGCCATAGACTCTCATGAGAACAAGCCATGTGGCAAGACCTATGGGAGATAGGACAAGGAAAGGATGTAACTGTTTGTCCCGATACGGGTCACGTCCCCTTGGTGACTCCAAGAAATGATGAGGCAGGTGTGCTCTTGCACGTGCGATGGCTGGAAAAGGCTCCTGCCACCGACGTGGTGCACTAGCTCCACAGACGATTGCGGCACAGGGGTGCTGACACTGTGTGGACAGTGCAGCAACAATGGAGCCTTCCCCTGAAGTGGGAAGATGTCGCAGGCGCCCGTGCCAGGTGTCCAGTGTGCAGATGGGATACACCACACCCTCGCCGCATGAAGCGGGAGCATGTATGAGTAACAAGGGAAGGGGCCCATTAACCATGTGGCCCATAGATTACATAGGACCGCTTCCAAAAGCTCAAGGGGCATCTTATGCCCTTATGGCAGTGGACATGGCTACTGGGTTGTGCAGCCACAGATCAAAAACATACTATTCAAGCTCTCAAATGCTTATATGCCTTTTACAGTAGACGGTTAGTAGTAGAAAGTGACCAGACATGAGGTCCGAACGTGGGCCAAGCAAATGAACATTCAGTGGAAATCTATGCCTTTTACAGTAGACAGTAGTAGAAAGTGACCAGACATGAGGTCTGAACGTGGGCCAAGCAAATGAACATTCAGTGGAAATGGGATGCCCTATACAATCCCCAGGCAGTGGTCATGAATGAGCGGCACAACAGGCTGTTGAAACAGCGCCTATGAGTAACCATCAATCCCCTGGGCTGTGAGGTTGGGTGTCCTGCCTGTGGGACATGTTGTGGGGCCTGAACGAGTAACCTCGAGCTGGAGATCCCTCTTTGGTAGAGCTGCTCTTACATAAGGCCAAGGCCCCAATTCAATTACAAGTCCATATCTGTTGAAACCTGGTAACATACTCCTACCTGCCCCTACTTGTCTGAAAAGGGAAGATACAGTGCAATGGACTTGGCCATGGAAAATAAAGGCCCCACATTGCCAGTGGGTAGGCTTAATAGCCCCATGGGGCAAGGGGCTAGAGGTGAACTTACAGGTATTTCTTGGATAATGGCTGATTAGCTACCACAAATAACTGTGAGATATCCCACCAGAGAGACAGATGAAGAAGAAAGTATCATCCTAAGGGGAACCTTTGTGTTCTCACGGTGGCCTATCATGAATTCTCCCAGATAGTGTCATGTTGACACAGTACGATCAGTGCCACCAGGGGAACGGGTATGGTACTGACAGCCAGGCCGCTCCCCCTCAGCAGCAACGATCTGATCGCAAGATAAGACACTAGCTTGCGTCTTGCCCGATGGAAAAGACTTACCTGTGTTGATACTGTTGTCCTCCCTTTCTTTCCGACCGTGGGCCGCTTTACGCGAATACGAATACCATGGTTGATGGGGCACGTACCTATGCCGCAAATGTCTCACGCTGTTGGGTCTGCACAGAGTTTCCTGTTAGAGCCTCTGCAGGATTGCCCTGGCATATACATGAAGCTGATGTCACAGCACGGAATCGGCTGACCCACTGGGGACCGCAGTCACCTGACTGGACCATCATCCATACTTCAGTGGATACACAACGAAGAACTCGGCATGGACTGGATAAACCCTTCCTGGGGTACTTGGTACATGATGAATGGTCATGACTGAGCTGACTAGTGAAGGGGTGAAGGTAACTGGGGATGTGCCCCATTGTATTGAAAGAAAGATGGGGTCCCTACCATTAGGGTGGGTGCCATGTCCTCTATGCCAAAACATATCTACTATTTCATTCACCACGCATTGGTGGACAGGACAAAAGTATGCCGGCACCCACCCGACTATGATTTTACCCCAGGAAGCCTATGGGTATGTGGGGCCCATGGGTGGCCCTATAGTCCCTCGAATTGGACAGGCCGCTGTACTTGTGGATGCCCATGTTTGCCAGCAACTGTGTGGCAGATGCTCCCACGGTGCCTCACAAATTGGGATATGTATTATTCACAACATGTCCGTACTAAGCAAACCCCATGGTGGCATTAACCCTTAGCCATCTTTCTGCCTGCGGCAGTTAACATGGTAGTTGAAATGCAAGTGACAGCTTTGGCAGAACATACTGCTCGAGCCTTGAATTATACTCATAAAGCCCTCAGTCTGGTAACTGATGAAGTAGATCAAATTAGGAAAGTAGTATTGCAAAATCTTATGGCCTTAGACACCTTGACTGCTTCCTATTGGGGCACTTGTGCTGTTCTCCACACTAAATGTTGTATCTACATACCAATGGCACAACATCTCACAAGCCTTAGTAGATCTCTCCCTAGAAATACAGGAAGCCTAGCAGCTAACTGGGGATTCTCTGCAGGAGTGCTGGGCAGGCCTAATGTCCACGTGGCACTGGGTCTTAGCTCTCCTAGGAGGTGGAGCCTGCCTTCTAGTGGCATGTTGTTGTTTCCTGTATTGTTGTTGTGGCCTGTGGGTACAGGGCTCTGCCCTTCCGCAGAGATCACTTGCCCAGCCTCCATAGGTGTACAGGAGGAACCCTGAAGGTGTGGAGTGTGTGGAGAAAGAAAGATGGATGCAGTCAGGCTCCCTCCCGACACCCTTAGCAGCTTCCGAGTGCCAGTGAGTCAGCATTTCTCCCCATATGGAACCATGTGCCGGGTGCGCATGTGCGGGCTCCTATAACTTGGCAGTGTGTCATTATTGTTTAACCTGTGCCCTACGAGGCTGGCTGTGCCCTTGCTAGAATAAAGAGCTATGTTGTAGTTGCCTACAGCTCCCCCATTTTCTTCCAACTGCCCGAGCCTCATACCCTTTACCTCGGTACGCCGAATCTGCAGCAACACACTTTGATTCAGAAGATACTGAGATTTTGAATCTTTAGCTACATATAGTGTTAAAAAACTTTCATGGTCAAAGCTTTTCTAAAAAGAAAGGGTTTATTAGGCCATTGCTAGCAAGAAAAAAACGGGTCATGGGGCATGCAGTCTGTACCATCAGCAGCACAGCTACTCAGAAGAGACAATTATATCTGCAATCCTGGAGGTGACACTCTTATTAAAACAGTTTTGGGAAGAAAGATGAAAGTTGTTCTGAAATAATTTACATTGATCATAAAGGGGATGGTAGACGGCAAAGTGAGGCTATTTCAGGGAGAGACGCTGGGTCCGAAAGGGAAAGGGGTTGGCTCCCGTGAATTTGTTAGGTGGTCAGACATGAGCGACAGGGGAACAAAGGAACCAAGGCCCAGCTCTGTAACCATAGAAACTTCCCTTGAAGCCGTTTCTTAAGCACCTCCCAGAAATACTTCACTTTTAGTGTTATAAATTACCCCAAATCCTACAGCACAAAGGCCATCAGAGCTGCTGGCTAAATCAGCTACAAACGCATGCTCAGAAAGTACTGCCCATAACTTAATCCTCATTATACCATCATTATAATATCATGTCTATGCCTGGAAGTTCATAAAACTAATTATAACAGACTGAATTCTGGGTAAGCACATGCACAGTAGGCAAAGTGTTATATAGCAGCCGTCAGTCAAGGTGACCTCACTTATGGATCATCTAGGCCCTCCCATCACCCATCACGCCCCAAATATAAACAGACCTTCCCATCTCTGCATTGTTACAGCATTCCTGGCTGGAAACCCGCCGCTCCCTTTGGGGTGGACTATCTTATCTCTTCACCTCCTAAATTCCACAGAACTGCAGCCTTTCCTAGTGCAGCCTGTCTCCTAAAATGTACTTTCAATAAATCTTACTTTTTCTCAATCTTGCCGACGTGTACTTCTTCACGGCATCAGCGGGGAAGAACCCAGGAACAACAACACACAATGCCACCAACCACTGTTCACCTCCTCCTTCCCCACACCGCTGGGGTGACCCAGGATTTCACCTCACCCCACGGTGACAGATTAACTGTGGGCAACAGATTGGAAAATTCAAGTGTAAGCAAGTAGTAGAAGCTTCAGGGTCCTGTGGCTCCGGGCTATTCTCTTTAGATAATCTGGAAACAATCAACTGGAAATTAATTCAAAGTTCCAACATACATTCAGGAATGCAAGCGATCTTTTGTTGGTTTTGCCCTGCAGTTGTGAACTGATTACCCTCTCCTGTCTCTTCCTTCCACCCTCTAGCCTGCTGTAACTTAATTTAGGATGTCTCAGAATTTTCTCCTTGTCAATAGTAAATGGGATATTTGCAAATAAGTATGTTAAGAAAAATTGAAGAGAGCAATTGTTTTTTGTTCTGGTTCAGTCTATTTGAGCAAAGCCTTTAACAAGACAGGAAAGTAGCTGTTTGTAAATTTTCAAGTCTGGGGGACTCATTGAGTTCTGCAGGTGCCTTGTCCAATACAATGCCTATGTCAAATGAAGCTAAACAAAACGGTATCAACTGTCAACATAAGAAACATCCAAACCTGTAGAGAATTTTTGAGTTTATTTGAGCCCAACTGACAACAATTACAAATTGCCAGGAAGCAAAATCTCAACAGATTGGGAAAGTGCTCCAGAGACTGGCAGTTTTGCAGTTTATTTTTATACATTAGAATCAAAGGGGAGACGTAAGAAGGGTTACATAAAATCCACCGGTGATAGATTAAGGAGGTAGGAGAAAGCAAGGTCGGGAGTTACCTCTGGGATTGGATAAAAAGGAGAGATACATACTTCTTTTACAATGCTGGGTACAGGATAGTTAATAATTAACATGTACAGCGTATAGAGATGGTATGCCAGGGAACAAATTAACAATGAGGGGTTCTGTGATCTCCTGCTCTGGTGGCGGGTGTGCCCTGAGAGGTCTGGAGAAGATTACTGAGACGTTTCAAAGGTATGTTATCTTAGATGCAAAAAGACAATAGACAGGCTCACTTAAGGTGAAGACTGAACATTGTCAAGGAAGCTACAGGCCTACGATAAGACTGCCTGCCATGACCCGCTTTTTATTAGGAATTTTTATGTTCAGACAATTCTATGTGGTTACTTTTATTCTTTCAGTTTGTGGAGCCTGCCATGCTGGTCTCCCTGAGCTTGTCAGGTTTAGTATATGACCCTTTTGTCCACAAATCGAAACTGGGCATTCTAAAACAGTGACCAAGCTAGACAGTGCAGCCAGTTAATTTTTCTCAGACATTTCTTTCTCTTTTTCTCTACCAACTGCATTTTTTTTTTTTTAAAGAATGAAGGGCATCTTATCACTAAATTATAAATGTGTAAAACACTTTCTTAGAGTGTATTGCTTTGCGATCAAAATTTATTCAAGGTATCCAGTCTACAAGGACTACCTTTTTCATCAGTAGAAAGACAGCACAGAGAAGCAGTAAAGACACCTAAAAGTACATCTAGAAATCAGGGGGAAATGTTTTTGAATTCTAGAAAATGAAAATAAGGAATGAGAAGGGTAGGATGCCCAGATTAGTCTTATGACTGTTGACCACATCCTATATGCAAAATCAGTTCATCTTGATCAAATGTCTTGTGCCCAGATGACTGAGCTTGGCGGGTGGGAGAAATGTACCTGCCTGCTGCTTCTGTAATGATCACCCATCTTCCTCCACGGGGGCATTTGAATGCGAGTCAGGGTCTGCTAGGGCCCAGCTGGCGGCTCACTGCTTCATGAAAATTGCCCCCAAGTACAGAGCCTGATGAGCATCTTTTACCATTAGCAACAGTGAGGGCATGGGTTATATGAAGAAGCAATTCTACTTAGCATTTTTGTTTTAGGTAAGTTGGTCACACAGTCAAGAGTGTAAATAACTTTGGGGGCACTTTTGTTTTTAAAAGCAGAAGGAATTCCTTCAATTGTTATAGGAAACTGAGTTTTCAAGTGCTTGTTTAAGATAGTTGACAATTTATAAAGAATTCACACTTGTAGCATTCTGCCAATTATGTCCAAATTATTGCTTATGGCTGGGACCAGATGACCTGCCCAAATTAGTCTGTTTCCTAAGGTGCTTAAGCTCTCTATCCTCAGGAAGCTTCTCTCTGCCTCTTAGAGGGCTCTCTGGTTCCTGAGTCTGATGTGCCCCTCCCTTCCTCTGGCTAGAGAAGAGAAAGGAAGAAGGGTCTTTTAGGATCTTAGCCTCAAGTCTTCCTGAGAGCCAACAGTCTTCTTCCATCTTCCCAGAGCAGCCCCACACCAGGTACAGGTGGGTTTGTGTCTAGAGAAACACATGTGACAAATATTATCTCACTTAATTGACTGTACATCAGAAACTTTATAGCTTTCATTGCACAGGAATACCTGAAAGCTCTGTAAACACAGAGACCATGTCAGTTTTGGCTTACTCATGAATCCCAATATTTTTGCACAATGCCTACCATGGAACAGATGCTCAGAATAAAATTTATTTACTGATACATGCCATTTATAGATGATTAAATATAGTATTGTGGCCATCTCATGAAAAGTTAGTCCTCAAACTCTGGGACTAGAATACAGCTTCCTAGTATAACTCTGATTCAATGGAAAAAAATAGATTTGACTTGACCAGTTCAACTTTACTCTCAAGTTTGAGAACTGCCTGTATCGAAAAGAAGTTGTGGTTGTTAGCTGTTAGTTGTAGACATACACATCTGTGTGTTTCCTCCAGTTTTTCCTTCTGTCACTTGCTTTCATTTCTGTCCTATGTTTCTTCCCTATGACACTTCATGAACGAAAATTGCGTTAGAATGAGGATAGTGAAGTCACACAGAAAGATACAGATTGGTTATGCAAGACAGCTTTTTATTTCTTTGTCTTATTTTCCCCTCAGGGTGGCTCTTTTGAAGGCAGAGATGATGTCAGTCCATTATTTGCATGATCTATTTAGAGAGTTCATGGACAGACTATATCCTTACATGGTACAATTTTCTGCTTGGCTCTTGCAAAGTTTCTACTTATGAAACTGGCTAGAGAAGAGAAAGGCAGAACATCCCCATCAAAGCGTATTAGAAATAAAATGGACCAATGGCTTCATTTAGTAGAGTAGGGAACACAGACTAATCAAAAGGCCCAACATTCCCATCAAAGCGTGTTAAAAATAAAATGGACCAATGGCTTCATTTAGTAGAGTAGGGAACACAACGGCAAAGCTATATTGTCCACATAATTCACAGCCAACAGTGTCCTGTTAGCTCACGGATATTACAGTTAATCTATGCAGTGTGCAAATAACCTCATGCTAGTGTCCATTAAATGCAGCAAGTTAACTCAAATACATAGCTCGCTCTAATACCTTGAGAATACAACAAATTTCTTCTGTATTTTATGTAACATTCTTCTGCGGAGTTGCTTCATTCCACCACCCTATCCCTCCGAAAATTGGTAGAGATTAATGTAACTCATGAATAGGCAGAAAAATATACAAGCAAGTGAAAAGACAAATGGCTAGCAGTGTCTGAACTGTTAAGAAGCAAAGGTGTGGAGTAAATGGCTTTAATATAGATAGAAAGAGAAAGCTCAGAAGAGGACATCCGAAGCAGAGTCTGAGGTTGCCTTTCAAAGATTAGTGTAGCATATAATAGAAGCCGCCGCTCCGCTTCAGAAGCTGTTGGAAAGTGGTGGGACTGTAGCTTCTACCGTCCCCTGCTCCCCTTCACGTGGACTTGGAAACTGTTAAATGATGGAGAAGGCGGAGTTGGGTAAAGAAAGAGAAGAGGATCCTGTTCATTTCCCTCTAAACTCTCCTAAATCCAACTGTGGGGGAATGGCCAGTCTTACCAGAGGAAATCCGAGTCGCGTCTGATAAAAGACTGATAAAGATGTCCCTCTCACCCTAGGAAGCCGGCACCCAGGCAGGACGTGAGGACCGAGACTCACCGACTGCGGCCACTTCCCGAGGGGCTGGGGGCGCGCCAGTTGGAAGGTGGGAGGCGGAGTTGCCCGGCTTCTGGGATGAGACCAAAGGAATGAGTAATTGGAAATTCTGTGACAGACCCAAACCCTTTAGCCCTTTCACCCCGAACCCCCTGCCGAGAGGCAAGGGGACTGGAGACAAGGAGACGTGGTGGAGGGAGAATCACGTTTCGGAGAGGGAAGTGAAATAAAGAGGGCGGCACCCGGGGGGACCTGTGCGTCATTGAGGGACCGAAGAGAAGCGAGGGCGCACGGGGTGGAAAAGGGGAAGTGGGAGCGAGAAGCGGGAGGGGGCGGCCGCGTAGCGCGGTGGAGCCCCGCGAAGCGCCGGAGCCTCCAGCCTTCTCCCGCCGCGCCCCGGCTGCCCGCAGCCTTGCGCTCTCGCCGCGACCCTCCGCGCTCCGGATTCCGCAGGCTGGGCGCCCGCCGCGCGCAGAATGTGGCCTCGGACGGGACTCCGGCCCCGCACGCCCTGGCGCTGGGCGCTGGCGCTGCTGACCCTGGGCGGCGCGGGGCTGGGCCACCCCGGCCCGCAGCCCAAGCACCCCGCGAGGCCCGGCTCCAGGAACAAGTAAGTGCGCGGCCCCGCTCCCAGCCCCGCGGATGGCGAGGCTCCTTCCCAGAGCCCTAGGCCCCCGCCTCCCCCTCCCGACCCGTCGCCAGGCCCCGAAGCTGCGCTGTCAGAGGCGACGAGCAGTAGCCAGGGGTTCCCCTCGAGTTGCCTCGGGCAGCGCCTCCTCTCGGGTGGCTGTGCGCTCCGCGGTGGGCGCAGGGTGCCGGGCGCCAGCGCCTCCAGCAGTGTTGCCGCCGGGGCCGTGGGGCGCAGGGAGTGTCCCGCAGAGCAGAACGGTTAGAAAACTCCCAAGAATTACTAGAGTTCTTGGGACCTTGGGTGATTTTCTCTGTCTCTGGTCGGGAAGAAGTGCACTCGCCAAAGGCTCACCCGCGCACCCTTCGGAGGTCTGTTTCGTGGAGTTCCTGCCTCCGCAGGGACCACGACCTCCCTGACCTTGGCTCCGTCCGCTGCTGTATCAGCCTGTCCCCTTTCCCCCAGCCTCATTGTTCTCCGGATTTACACAGTGCCTTTCTCCCTCTCTCTCCACCCCAGGAACTGGTGCGCCTACATCGTGAACAAAAATGTGAGCTGCTCTGTGCTGGAGGGAAGTGAGAGTTTTATTCAGGCTCAGTACAACTGTGCCTGGAACCAGATGCCCTGCCCGTCAGCGCTGGTGTAAGTTCTGGAGCCGAGGAGCGGGCGGGGCGCGCCGGGGCCCGGACGGTGGGGGTGGGGTCGGGGCGTTGGGCTCCAGCCAGTTGGTAAATCTCTTCCAGAGCGGGAGAAAACTCCGCAGCTGAAAAGTTTGAGCGCAGAGCGGGGTCCCGGGCACGCCGGGGTAAAGAAGCTGAGTTTCTCTAAGTTGAAGATGTACAAGACTTGCGAGCTTGTGATCATCAGGGCACAGGAGGGGGTGAACAAAGCCCCCCACCCTCACTTATTTTTTTTTTCAATTTTATTACTAACATAAGACAGCTGGACCTAATTAGATCCATATTGTGTGTACTGGGGCACATAGATTCCAAGATGTATACTGCTAAAAATGTTTAAATGTAGGGCTAGCTGACTGTCCTAAAACAGACGAGTTTTGTCCAGATGTCCCATGAAACGGACCTCTTCCAGTGTTGTAGATCTCTGAAGTCCCCAGAATAACTTGCTTAGGAGTGTGTCGTCTTGTTTTTTTCAAGTTAGATTTTGGGATTAGCTAAGTAGTTGTCAGGAGAGAATTGTTCTTAAAGACAAGGGGAAGAATTAATCATCTTTTTGCTTATAAAGATTTCACCATCTTCAAAAAAAAAAAAAAAAGAGGAAGGGATGCAATAGAGTACAGATTTCGTTAAATACAGCACACTCATTCAATTCCCATCCAGCAAGTCTGTGTGTTCGTGTAAGTCAGATATCAGAGGATGAGCTGATGTAAACGAATGGCTGTTGGGGAACACATGTGATGATTGAAATTAATTGTTTTCCCCTAAGAATAAGTTGTTTGTCTTAGAGCACAGTTGTCATTACAGCAAAGAATAATAGCCAGTGGGCGGATCTGTCTTTGGCAAAGCAAAGGGACAGACTGAAACTTGTACTCCAGGAAACCTCATTCCAGAAGGTAGTTAGATGAGCCTTCAGGCATGTGAGGTGCAAGTGGCCCCTAAATCACACCCCACCCCATGAGCTGCTGTGGGAACTTAAAACACGAAAGGGGTAATTTCTATTAGGCCAACAACTTAGGACAGATCCCCACTTTTTAATACACAGAGAAGCAGGCTGAAGCAGGATCTCTGGCTGTCACACTGCATTGCGTAGAGTGTCCGAAGTGTGCGGTACAGTCATACAGCTTGCATCTCTAGTCTGTAAGATGCAGATCTCAGAATCTATGGCCAGCAGTGAGTGAAACAAGAACCAAGAGTTTCACATTGTAGTAGAGACATGTAAGTACTCAATACGGTTTGAGTGGATTTCTTCAAAATTAGAATCGTCAGTCAGGAATATTTCATTTGTTTTACACAAAAACAGCATTTTATGATTTGTTATAATCTTAATGCTTACTTGTGACAACTCAAAAATAAATTTTTCATTTAGGGAGGTAATGCTTTTCATTTAAAAGATTTAATTTTTTTTCTGATATTATTTTAGTGCTTAAAAAATCAAATGACGATTTAATTGTTGTATTTGACCAAAACTCAGTGAAACAAATCTTCAATGGGAAACGAACCATCTTCAGATCAGCAGGTTAATGAAAGGCAGTTGGAGCGTATTTTTGCCACCCAATGGGAAGGACAATAAACACTGCTATAAAAAAAAATGACAGATGTTTCTGTTGTTTTATTAAACAAAACCAAAATAAGTGACCTCCGTATTTTTTCAGTAATAACCATGTAAATAATTCAAGTGTGTCTTTCTTTACATTTTAAGTACTGCACTGTAAGTGTGAAATTCAAAAACTAAGAAGATTGTTTTAGCTGATCAAGCCGAAAATCTTGAAGTTAACTTAAGCAGCTAATTTAGTTCTTGACCTTTTTCTGTTTCTTTAGAGGCAGGAAAGGAACGGTTTACCTTATTTTTCAACTACTAAGTGTTTGCTAAATTTTGAGGATTAGTGGATGAATGAAGGCCAAGGGAGAAACATTTCTTTTACACTTAAAGAGGAATGACTGTAATTAACATGGAATTTCCCAGGTGTTTCTGATGCCTTGTGTCCAGAAGCCTGAGTAACTTCTCTCAATTCATAGGTACTGTCAGGTGCGATCTTCATTATTTGATCCTTAAAACCTGAGACCTGTAGAAGTGAAGGTTCTTTGGAACCTCATCCTACAGTGACAGAGGGCTACTTTCTGGGTGGTGTTAGAAGTACAGACATACCATATTTGCTGCACTGCACAAGTGCTGCGTTTTTCACAAATTGAAGACAAGACCCTCTCCTAGCAAAAAGATTACTACTTTATTGTAATATTCGCTTTATTGCGGTGGTCTGGAATTGAACTCGAAGTATCTCTGAGGTGCGCCTTTATTGCAGTGGTCCCCACCCTTTTTGGCACCAGGGACTGGTGTTCCTATGAGAATCTAATGTCTGATGATTTGAGGTGGAGCTGAGGCAGTGATGCCAGCGCTGGGAAGTGGCTGCAAATACATATGAAGCTTTGCTCCCTTTTCTGCCACTGTGCTCCTGGTACCTAACAGGCCACAGAACTGTATAGTCTTCAGCCTGGGGGTTGGGGAACCCTGCTTATAGGCCTAGAGTTTGACTGAGATGCTGGAGCTAGAAAGGTAGTTTAGTAGCTAGTGACAGTTGGGTATCTAGGAGTGGCAGGTGTCAGCGAAGGAGGCCTAAATAGAGTTGTAGCAGAGCTGGGCTGCTGTGGCCGTGGAGGGAAAGGAGGAAGAGAAGCCAGGCAGGGGAGAGAGCAAAGCCAAGATTTTCAGAGACCCTGGAAGGAGAAGCCCGGGAAGCTGAGGGATCCAGAAAGGCCAGATGAGTTAGCCAGCAAAAAGATCTGCTTATGTGGAAAATAGCAGTGGGGTACAGTCGTGTTGTAGCTCATGTGAGATTAAGGGACTGGGTCGTGAGGAAACCAGTTACTCAAGAATCAAATGTGTTTCAAAGGCTTTGGTGGGAAAAGGGAGTTGATAATAGCCAAGCGGGTGAAGAATTACTTCAAGAGAGAGAACTCTGCATGTTTTAGGAGAGAAGTGAAGAAGCCAAAGGGAGAGACTGAGTATGAGGTAGGCATCAGCTAGGAAACAAGGGGTTGGAGGGGAAGTCCACACAAACCACAGGAACAGGTCTGTGCCTGGCCCTGTCATCGGGTGCTAAGCCTCCACGGGCATTTCCAGAAAGTTTAGACAATGCTCGTTTGCATATATGAACAGCCTTAGATTATAGATTGTGGATTTGGGTATCAATATGCGAAACTAGGAGCAGAGAGGGTTTTTATATGATATGTGGGCATTTCGAACAATCATTTTTCTGAAACTTAAAGAACTTTCTGAGTGTTGGGCATTGTGTTAGGACTTTTTATTCTATATATTAGTTTTTAATTCTTGCGACAGTCCTTCAAGATGGGCTCCATTTTACCAATGAGGAAACGGACACGAGATGTTCTCTGACTTCCCTGTGGTCACATGATGGTAAGTGGCTGAGCGGCCTCCACACACAAGGCTGCTGGCCTTTGTGGACTGGCCTCTGTCCCTATAGCAATGGAGAAATGTGTTTTAGTGTGCGCCTTCAATAGATTGCACGGTACTCAGCTATAAAGAACATTGACACCTTTCATGGAAGACAATTTCCATATAAAAGTGACTGAGAACTGTTTGTCCACATGTGTGCATGTGTACACACATGCTTCAATTTCTTAACTGTGGGTCCTTTGCTACAACGCAGTGCACTGCATCATTTTTCACGCTGTCCACTATGCTATAGAGGTTTTATTATTTTAATAAAACACTGGCAGATTTGATTTGATTTTTCTGGGTTGTTAGGACAGTTGTTTAAAGGGAATATTAGTAAGGCCAGTACTGTGGAGTATACCGTATGAGCCAATAAGTTTGGCCACGTCAGGATATTCACACATATATCCCTGAGCTCAGCTACTTACCCTGAGACTTGTCACAAGGGGATGGTGTCAAAACCGTGCTCCTGGAAAAACAACTCTAAGCCCATGCCTTTGAATTAGTAATACCATTCTTGTGTGTAAGAATTATTAATTTTCTCCGAAGATTTTCTGTCACTTTGGAATTTAGAGATCTGTCAGTCTCTCTCTTTCATGCATTGGCACTAGATGTGAAGTGGGGTCTGGGTTCCGGAGAATTGCTCTAACAGAAACTGATTTGCTTTCCCTCAGCTAATCGTAAGGGTGGCTGATGAGGACCTGTGGAGGAGGTCAGAGGAGTTACCAGGTGGAAGTGTGTAGTGAGGGGGCAGCTGCTTGTGGACTAAACTAGCACAACGTTGGATGGTAGTGATTTACTATTTATTCCTAATTAGTCTAAGGATTTTTTCCCCTCTGAGGTCACTGTTTTACTTTATACTTTCATATTAAGAAAGCCAAAACTCTTAAAATTTCATTGCATTGAGGAGTTTTTCTGATTAACCATATAAAGCACTGGCATTTCGGCGCGTTTGGCAGACTTTCACCATCACACTGCCACCCAGGCAGCACTAGGATGGTCCTGGCGTGTCCACACCTCTGAGTTTGCAATCTCAGGAGCAGCACATAAGTGTGGAGGGGGTCTGTCTTGGACATGAGCTCGTTTTGGGGACACATTTTGGGAATGTGAGCAACTTAGAATTCTTCCTATGGGCTTTGGGCAGGATGGCCTTAATATAGTATCCAGTATCCAGGGCCTGACTTGGGGAGAATATCTCCCTGGAATGCATAGTTGTTTGTAACTTGATGAGCAGCTTTGGGTTCATTGCCTTCCATCTTTACAGCAATGCTTGGAGTTGTTAACCCCACTTTACAGGAGGGCACATAGTTACAAAGAAGCAGAGCCTAGATCTAAATCCAGTTATTATTTCCAAGCCTTAGGCTCTTCCCACTCCATTTCCCCATAGCCCCTTGCTGTCTAAACCCACACTCTGGGATGAGGACCCCGAGGGAGGGAGAGAAGGAAGGAGGTGTGTGTGTGTTACCTGCCCCAGCACGCTGTGATGCTGGCATCTCTGGTGGGAAGGGAGGAGA